ATGCGCCACCACCACCAGCATCATCAGCAGCATCATCTGTATCATCATCATTACCATCCCCCGCGGCATCATCATCATCAATGCCATCATCCTCATCGTCGCCGTCGTCTTCTTCATCTGAAATATCATCACGCGCAGTTTCGTCACCGTCACCATCGCAAACGCCCTCCGCATCATCATGATCAGCTGCATCATCGTCACCATCATCGTCCGCATCAGCAGTATGACCAGCAGCATCAGCATCGTCACCTGCATCATCAGCAGCAGCATCATTAGCGGCATCATCATCATCTTCATCACAGGCAGCATCGGCATCGCCATCATCAGCATCATCAACATCATCGCTAACAATTTCATCATCATCATCATCACCACAAGCAGCACCATCATCAGCAACAGCAGCATCATGAGCACCATCATCAGCAACAGCAGCATCATCAGCATCAGCATCATCACCATCAGCATCACCATCGGCATCGTCACCGCAATCACCAACAGCATCAGCAGCATAATAACCATCAATCACACCATGATCAGCATCACGATCAACATCATCATCCTCATCAACACCAGCATCATCAGCAGATCCCGATTCAGCTTCAAAAGCATGCGGACAGCAAGTCAAGCTTGGGCGCGCGTCAGAAACTTACACCCGGGGGGGGGGGGGGGCAACCGCCACTTATGGGGGGAATTCCCCGCGACAGTCTGGAAAGGACGACTCTCCGCGCCTTGGATGGAGGGCCCCCATCAAGCAAAGATGGACACGATAGGCCCCGCACCTTCAAAGTTGCGTGGCTGCCACACTTCCCACAGCAGAGCACTCCGCGCATGACCTTGAGCGCGGGCCCAGCTGCACATCTACAGTACAGGGTGTGGGGCAAGAGACCGGAAGAGAGGGCAGAGGACCCAAGGCAAGGGCCTGGGCAGAAAGCGGAGGCGCACCCAGACAAGTGGAATCCCCGAACACACGTGCGACACTCGATGCACGAACCATACCTGACTGGGCCATGCCCAACCGCACGAAGCCTGTCCATCCTCACCCTGCATGAGGGAAGGGCAGGCGGGAGGGGCGCGGGGCGGCCTATTCGATCGGCAACACGTCGGGGGTTGGCCTGGACGACCTTCGTATGGGCAGTCGGGAGTCGGTCAAGGACCGCGAACGCAACGCGATCAACAAAGTTAGTCAATTCAATATGCTCAGAAGTGGCCCCGCCTTCATGCGCAGCCCACCCAGCAACATCATCGGCGCGCCAATTCAAGAAATGATCATCGCAATCGGTCGCATGCTGCGCACGCTGGCTTCAGTCCACATAATGTCGACCCGACCAGGGCCCCGATCATCGAGCGCAGCCCAGATCCGAACCCGAAGATCAATCAGACTCCTAGTAGGTAGCACCTGAGCCCGCGGCTGACGAGAAGCCTTCACCAACGGGAGGTAATCAGGACATCAAGTGCCATCATCAGTAGTATGAGAAACCAACATCAAAAAGGCGTACCACTCGGCACAGGGGCAAGACTGCTCACGGGTGGGAGAAGTACCACACAACACAATGTTCAAGCGCATAGCAGGGCCCCGAGCCATCCCATGACGAGCCATAGCCCATCCATATCTACCTAGCCTGATTATCAATAGCGTGGCCCTCCTGAACCATCGCGGCCCCATTTACCACCACGAACTTCAGGGGAATCACTATGAAGGCCCACGCGAGTTCACGAGGAGGAGGAATATGCCCACAACTAGCATCGATACTCGGGTGCCCTCGTGCGTAGAAGGCACTGTGAATGTCTGCTTGCCCAGTTTCACTCGCCAGGAACTCACTGCCACGCACGGCGGGATCGCACAGGTGGGAATTAGCTGGGAAAAACAACGTCGCGTGCGAAGGGGGTTCAATAGCACCACCACACCTGAAACACTTTCCATCCGCGCAATACCCTGCGTCAAGCAATATGCTCTCACGCCAGCAACCCCCAACCACGATAGTGGCTAGAAGCGCTGCGCCAACATAATCTTCATCATGAAGCAGTTTGTTGTGCTTCCGTCGATTCTTTGTTTAGAAAAAAACTCCACCGTCGAGGACTCGCCTGCAGTAATGCTGGGACGCAGTGGCCCAAGCAACAGCAGAACACCTCTCGCGAACACGTGGCTGGGGGTGATATCGGAAAGCAGGTTCATTCTTTCTGAGAGGCGTTCTGCCTTCAACGATCCAAATATCAACGTCCCGTGGTCGCCATCACCATTGCCCGCTGCCGCGCGAGGGGAGGGAGGTGGAGAGGAGGCCCCAGCAGGTGAAGGGGGGGGGGCACGACCCAAGCACGCGCCAAAGCCAAAGGGGCTCGAGGAGGAGGAGGAGGAGGAGGAGAAGGAGTAGAAGGATGAGAGCCAGGAGGAGGAGGAGGAGGAGGGAGGAGGAGGAGGGAGGAGAGGGAGGGGAGAGCAGGAGGAGGACGAGGAGGAGGAGGAGGAGGAGGAGGAGGAGAGTCAGGAGGAGGAGGAGAAGGGGGAGGAGGAGGAGGAGGAGGGAGAGGAGGAGGAGGGGAGGAGGAGGGGAGGAGGAGGAGGAGGAGGGAAAAGGAGGAGGAGGAGCTGGAGGAGGAGGAGGAGGAGGACGACGACGAAGAGGAGGAGGACGAGGGAGGAGGAGCTGGAGGAGGAGGCGAGGAGGAGGAGGAGGGGAGGAGGGAGGAGGAGGAGGAGGAGGAGGAGGAGGAGGAGGAGGAGGAGGAGGAAGGAGGAGGAGGAGGAGGAGGAGGAGGAGGAGGAGGAGGAGGAGGAGGAGGAGGAGGAGGAGGAGGGGGGGAGAAGGAGGAGGAGGAGAAGGAGGAGGAGGAGAAATTGAGGAGAAGGAGGAGAACGGGGAGGAGGAGAAGGGGGAGGAGGAGGAGGAGGAGGAAATTGAGGAGAAGGAGGAGAACGGGGGAGGAGGGAGAGGGGGAGGAGGAGGAGGGGAGGAGGAGGAGGAGGA